TCTCTCTCTCTCTCTCTCTCTCTCTCTCTCTCTCTCTCTCTCTCTCTCTCTCGCATGCGACGCACATACCAATCGCGATCGCTCGATATTGTCGTTTCTCGCAAATGTGCGCGCAAGATACAGCGCGGGAGCGCGCGGCGCAACTCATTAATTGCACTTTCCTCAATAGCGCCGCTCCATGCGCCTGATGATCCTCATGGGTGATACGACGAGGGTGATACGAGCCGATTGTGGCCGATCGCAAGCGCGCGACTCTTCTGAGTGATCTTGCGATCTTACAGGAGGGGGGAGAGAGAGAACAACGAGGCACCTATCGTGTGCTTCAACGGACCGACGCTAGAATTAGAATAATAAAAAAGTCTTCGTATGTGCACGTACACTGGAAAGTCGATTCGTTTCGACAAACATCTCATCGCATATTGACGCAAGTGTGACGAATGGAGCGACGACGGAGAACGTATCCTCGAAATAATTATCGCACGGCGAGATAAAAACCGCGTTGACTATGTCATAGTGTAACGATGATCCATAACAGCGGGGTCCGTATGCACCGATGACTATATGCACGGGTTAAATGCCTCATGACAGCGATGTTGTCATCGATCGGCATTACGCTATTAATATCGCTCAACGAGATCAATGTCACTCGTTAATCTGCGCTGGTCCAAATATCACAGAGACGATAATTCATTCGCAAAAATGGACACAAGGTTCCGATCGCAAATTCGATCGCGCGAACAACCCGTAACAACTAACGCGTGTATACTCGCGGATTTATTATCAATTGTATCGCGAAAACGCGTCTCAGAAACGGTCTCTCGGAAAAATCACGCATTTCGTCACTCTCGAAATGTACAAGATGTGACACCTGAGATTTCACAATATGTTTTAATTAACTGGCCGTTCGACAGAAAGGATATTGAATCTGAAGCATATCACAAGAAAAGGCAGTTATCGCACAGTTTGGTCGAAAGAGTTTATCTGTATTATTATCGCAACAATAGTGTGTCGTGCAGATCGCTGTCTTGATTGATAACTGGTGATATACATCCCATGTGTTGCGCGATGAGATATCGAACGTAATGTGAAAGCTTCGCGATAACCTTCCTTATCCTGATCATGGAATCGTGCAATGTCCGATAATTTTGCGGGCATAAGCGTACTAAACGCAATCATCGTTCGATGATCTTGCACTGCCAATAAGGAACAAAACAATACGTCAAGGTGACACAATATTTTTCTCCTTTCGCTGTGTGACATAATCTTCCTGTTTGAGTTTGCATTTAAATTGGAAGAGGAACGATCCGATTAAACAGAAATTGGGAAAGAAATATTATTTGAAAAATAATATTGGCGAATTGTTCGATCGTTGGAGAGAACCTTAAACCTTTCACGTGTGACGAATGTTAGACGAACGCCGGGATTCATCAGATACAGCGACGATAGTCGCTTCTGTTCGTTGCTCTCGATCAATTTGTCAAATTATACATGTATACACATATATAAACAATATACAAAGAGAAATAATAGAGAGAAAGAGATTAAGCTCTTTAAGAGATATTTTAATCGCGGGCATAAAGCGAAAACTGTACGTGCGACAAAGAATGCTGGAGAAAGCACGAGTTATTTGAATAATAAGAATTGTAAAAATAATAACAATGATAAAGACAACGTCAGAAAAGAGAAAAAAGAAAACGGATGCATCAATTAAATTCTAGTGTGCTCGGAATAAACGATCGACTTACTTTGAAGCGCCCAGGGTGTGTATTCTTCGAGCTCCCGCAGATAAATCGCAGAGTCCCGAACACATTTTTCCGAAGCCCAATTCTGTGCAACAAAAGGTCTCGCGAAAACATCCATGAGAATGGTTTCGGGCCTGATGCCGTCGACCTTTGTCGTCGTTGCCAAAAGGCAGATGAGAATCGTGCACCTTTTATACCATCTCAGTTCCATATTTTGTTTGATTCTTCCTTCCCGTTTCAAGAAATCCGTTAATTTCTGTCGCAGATAAACAAAACAATATCGTTTGAATCGTCCAATGTTAGGTACGACGCTTCCCATCGTGTTCCGTACAATTAACGTTATTATATTTTAACATTATTATATTTTAACGTATCTCGTGTGTTTGCTCGTCTCGACGATAACCAATTATCGTACCTTGCTTTCGATAACTTCCCGTGCGATGCACAGCGATTTCGTGATGAGGAATTCCGTTCAAACCACCGACTTACACGACGCATCGGCCAAGAGTGACGAATTAGCCGGATGAGGCGTCGGTGGTGGCTGCACCGACCATCGGTCGACGACGACGGTCGAGGGACGCTCGGCGGTCAACTGGCGTGTGAAGAGGTCAAGGGGCGCGTCGCAGAAACACGTGTGTTGTTGGACGGTGTACGGTGGCGTGCACGTGTACGAACTTGATGAAACCCGCGCGAGAAGTAAAGACACGGAAAAGCGACAAAAGCGACGTACGTTCTGTCAATCGTCGCGCCGTTTCACTTATATATTGGACGACTGGCGAACCGAGATGGGGGTAAGAGAGCATTCGACTCCGAGACTGTGGCCATCTCGGCGGGTCCCTCTTATCGATGTGTAAGCGAGGATTACGCTTCGAGAGAGAGAGAGAGAGAGAGGGAGAGAAAGAAAGAGAGATGCAGACGGAGAGTGGGAAATCCTCGACACGCCACTCGGTTCGGCTGTCAGGAATTCGTTAATGACACGCAGACGATGCTGAAAAGGAATTTACGGAAATGTTCAGATAAGATGGCTTTACCTAAGAACCCTCCAAATATTGGAAATAGGCGTCTGAAGGCGATATAGTTCGTCAACCCTATTGCGTAAATTTACAAGAGAGAGAGGGAGAGAAAGAGAGAGAAAATTTTTATATTTTTTCTTTTTTTACAGCAAGAAAGAAAAATTCAAGCGTCGCGCTCTACATACATAACATAATTAAACATGTGTTAAATAAACTTGTAAAAACACTTAGAGGGATAAATTTGACACTTGGAAATAATAATACAAGTTCTCCCACAGACATATGTCAGATTCAATCAGTTTTTCTTTTCTAACTTTATTCCCTCTCTCTCTCTCAAGCTTGTGAAATTCTTGAATATCTTTGGGTATTCCTAAAAAATAATTGCCAGAATGCCATAACATCGGGGGCGGGGAGAGAAGGGAAGATGGAGGGCCGATGGCATAAAAAACCGAAGAGATCGACCATTTTTCATTGGTACGTGACGATTTGACAGTGCACAAAGAAGAAAACAAGTGGAGGGATTACAAACTAAGTGCTGCGACACAGCACATTACTTTATAATCGCTCGCACACACATCGCTCTATCAATTACTCTTACTGTTCGATAGATTCGAATCGAACGCGAAATGATGCGGTCAACGATGCACATTGCACAGAGACGTAACTGTTATATTCATCTCGACTAAGGATTCTTTAATCTCGTCGTTTCCAGTACGCGCACGTGCTTCGGTCAAGGCCAGTAATATTATTGGATACAATTATCGATAGAAATAATGACACCATCTGTGCGTATATCACCAGCAATTTCGAATAATTAGAGGATATTTAGAGGATTTCTTAATGTAAATCATACCTCTTGTGCATCGCCGTATGTTTCTCTTTCGTTTCGCTTTTACCTTCGACTACGAATTCTTTGACTGCACAATTGGAATATCTTGGCGCGAATATACGCTTAGTTGCAGTTTATCAGCCGGGAATATTACGTTACATGCGCGCATATCGGTTAATCGATTAAGCGTCAACGTGTTAAAATGAATATTTAGTGAACATGCTTTACTTAGACGACACAAGACTTGCCAATACCATCTCGAACATGTCCCGGATGTTCTGCAAAGTGTTTCCAGGATGTCTTGTGTATGAGAATATTAATTAATACTGTTCGCATTTGTTATAAATTCATTTATATAACAAATCACCGTATCTCGTCATCTTGCTTCGCAATTAATAGGAATTTTGCCAATTTTAATTTATCGATCATATTTTTTATTTGAATTTTTATTTGATTGTTAACGCATCCGCACATTTGTTCGGATGCATTTAAAGAAGCGCAGCTGAATGAAGGGGTTATCAAATACAGATTATATCGTATCTACTACTGAAATACACACTTTGTTTTATTTTTTAGATCTTTAAATTGCACTGTGCCGCGCACTGTGACAATATGATTTCTATCGGCATCATTTCGTGAAGAAATTCGTCGTAGTCGCTGTGAATCGGTCCCTTCTGCGTAATATGCGATTGCTGGTCGTGGGACATTGACCAGTATTCGACTTTCTCGACGTTGTATACGAAAAATGTAACGTGAACGAACTTTCGTAAAGCCCCCACATCAAAGAGAGGCAGACGGAGACATAAGCGACTGTAAAACCAATAATCCCGATAATCCCGGTACAATCGCAGATATGCAATGTTACGTTACGTTTGCCGAAAATCGCCGCGATCTTGGTTGTAAATTTTATTGCGTTTACCTTATATTACCATACCAGTATACTTACTGTAACTTCTAGATAAGTAGTACAAGAGCGTATACCAAAGCAGTCTGTAACCGTGAATAAGAGGAGATTGTACGTTACGTACCTGTTCATCGCGTCACCTCTTCATCGCGATCGTTTCTCTTGATCGCTCTGTCATCATTTTTCTTACGAATTTCAAATTACTCGTGAAACGATCGATATGTAGAGATTTCACAATTACGTTCTTCCCGAGTTATCCCGGGGAGGGAGAGAATGACAGCCCACGCAATGTCCAAAATTGGGACATAAGATGTTTTGAAGTCGTCTTTAAGACGTCGGAACACAAGACGTCTCTGAAACGTTTTTAAGACATCTTATATCTCGATTTTGAACGTCATGTTGCGTGGGAGAGAATACATAAATATGCAAGTAGTCCATCCCGGTAAAATTTAAAATTAATGTTGCACGAAAAATGTAGTTTAATGAACATTTCGCTACATATTATCATTATAACATTACGTTATAACCCAAGATCTATTCGCCATGTTATTTAATATACAATTAAAGTACATGAAATTAACCATTTATTACTTGCTACTGATTTCATTACAAAAGCATTCCCAGCTCTATAATTATCGCCAAGCATGTGTTAATATAACATATGAATATAACTCTACTTCAACCGTTTTGTAACCATACACCGTACACTTTGCACATAGTTTATCACTATTTCATCGTCGTATAAATTATCGTAAGCGCATCACACACACGCACGCACGCACACACACACACACGCGCGCGCGCGCGCACAGGTGTGTGTCATATATGTGTGTGTGTAAAGCAATTTATTAATAAGAATAATAAAAGCAGAAACTTGAAACGGGAACATATCGCGTCTTTTTCGACATATTATTTATTATTTATTATTTATTATACATTTTTACATATTAATTAAAAATACATATCTGTCCCGATTTTCTCTGCTGCATTAATATTTTTCCTAATAAACGCTAATTTTTCTTATTCGATTTATAAATATACAAGACGTATATGTTAATGTTATATGTAACATTGTATAAAAGAATTTACATTAGCGATTAGCAGCTCTGACAGGATATATTTACAGTATTTCAGATGTTACGCCATTACTACTGCATTCTCAATGTATTTTTAGTATTATACATTTCAAGGAATGTTCAGCCAGTATATGAGCTGTGTAGAAAAATTCTATTGATAAAACTAGATAAAATAATATCTGCCTTATCCCAAGTGTCAAGTCCTACAAAATATAGGTACAACCCTTAACAAAAATATTTGTGTCAAAGATAAACTCAATGCCAATGTCTAATGTTAATAATGTTATCTTAGAAGAATATTAGAGCCATTGTTATTATCGTTACCAGCCTATCTTAGGAAAAAATTCTGCAACATCTTGAAATACTTGCTCCGGTGGCCTCATAGAATCAACTTTGAAAACTAAGTCTTGTTGTTCGTACAAAGTTACTATTGGTATCGTATTTTGCAAATAAGTCTGGTGACGAAGGATCAATGACTGTTCATTATCATCACTGCGACCACTTCCCTCTGCACCACGTTTCAGGCAACGTTGAGTACAGACTTCCTGATTGCATTCACAGAATATCACACTTTTCAGGATAACTTTGTCAGACATCACCTATCAATATATAATATATATTAAATACCTGTAATTACACAAAAATACACCCATATCTAAATCAACTTTATTTTCTTCAATTAACTATATCAATCATATAATCAAAGTTATTAAAAAATTATAAAAATGACAATTAATGTTATATAGATGGCGTCATTGTAAGCCATTAAATAATAAACCAAATTAATAAATGAAGATATGCATAAAGAATGATACATTAACTTGAATTATTTTGATCTCATTGTGTACAATTTTATTTTTCTTTTAATACTCATCAAGTTTTTACGCTGTGGAAACACGCGTAATTCTCCTCCTCTACATTTTTCATTATTATATAATCAACGTAATCACAAACAACGTGAGTTTTCAATTATGCAAAAGAAAGTCCAATAGCGATTTCTCGGGTGTTTGACTCGCGAGTAGACTTATAGAACAAATAAACGCATCGCGAATCTTTGGAAACATACACAATGGATATACCTTGTTCCAACCGTCCAGGTTATCTTGGTTTCTGGGGAAACCGTCGATGAGGAAACGATTGTGCGGGTTGTCAGAGATACGCATAGCGCGGTCTAGAAGGCTACAGGTGATCTCCACCGGCACGATCGTGCCATTTCTGATGTGAGTTTCGATCAGTTCACCGTATTGCGAGCCTGGTTTAGCGCGTTCTTCTCGCAGTAGATCGCCGGCTGACAAGTGGACATAGCCATATCGCTCGACAATGTAGCGACACAGAGTGCCCTTACCGGCACCCGGGCCGCCCAGGATGAACACCACCTCCGGCTTTCTCGTTACGGCGGACATCGCGATGCGTCGCGCACCGACCGCGAGAGCCTTCAACATATACGAGAGATTGTGACGACGCGACACATGTGCATGCGCATATATTTGCGTCGATAAGAACGCGCGATATATCATAGGCTAAATTGTTCGTACACACTTGAATATTGTAGCGTGGGAAGTCAGAAAATTGCTGATCTAAAGGCTATTCTACAATTACGTAAGTTGTGAACGATTATAAATGATTACGACCAATGACGTATATACACAGACCAAGTATTCTGTCTGTAAAGTGAAGCCGGAGTTGACAGTTTAAAACAGAGTGAGAAAGTTAATTTGCCCCTAGTGCTTTCTTACTCTGCACTATGTTCAGAAATCCTACTCGATGGGTAGAGTTACTTTAATAAACCAATCATGATAAATAAATCTTAGTTCCTTTTATCCTGATTGGCTAATTAAATATTACTCTACTCACCGAGTAGGGTTTCTGAACGCAGCCATGGGTGTTTCCGATAATACCTCTCCGAGTCATTTCCCTACAGCAGAAATAAGTTACAGACATCACCATCTACTACTATTATGTGATTCATAATAACCCAAAGCTACCTAAAGCCCGTATCAGACTACCGACCGACTGCACAGGCTGACTATGACTGCCGACTCTCAATGGACCAATCACAGTGAGGCGCTGACTCAGTGAGTCCATTGAGAGTCGGCAGTCGGGTCGGCTTGTGTAGTCGGTAGTCTGATACGGGCTTTAGTCTCGCGACTGCAAGCAATGGGTTAAGCAGAACAATACCATGACAAATACACGAGATAATAATTTTGTAAAATTGTATTATTGATTATAAAATCATCTGATGTTGTTTTCTAATAAAATTTTATTTATTTTTAATTAAAGTTATATAACCATTAAAATATATATTTTTCAAATATTATCCTAAAGTAAAAAGTCACACTGTTTTAACCTTTGGGTTTTAAGCTTTGGGTTGTCATGAATCACATAATAGTAGTAGATGATGATATCCGTAACTTATTTCTGCTCTAGGGAAATGACTTGGAGAGGTATTATCGAAAACACCCAGTATATGTTAAATATTGGATGAATTCAATACTACAACCGCTCACTGAGCGCTCAGTAAGCTCTTACATTTGATTAGTATATATTTTGAGATCTAAAAGAATATACCAATGGGACGTAAGAGCTCACTGAGCGCTCAATGAGCGATTGTAATACTGAATGGGTGCGTTCAGCGAACTCAACAGTTGCACAACAGTTGAGCAATTCGTCAATGACTTGGTTTACATCGTGCACTTGATACGCGTACTACATAATAACTTTCTATTAGATAATCTTAATATCGACAATATATATATATATATATATATAAAACGGTATATTAAATAGGTATAATGCTTATCAACAAAACGTATTGTATTGATAGAATGCGTCGCTGTTGATATGCATTGTCGATATTAAGATTATCTAATAGAAAGTTACTATTTAGTACGCGTATCAAGTGCACGTAAACCAGGTTAATGTAATTGGTCTAGATTTAGGGATCTAATAGTAAGAACCAATAATCGCTGATTGCTTACTGAGCGCTTTTTCTGTTGAATGCGCCTAACGCTCTATGCACAATGCCAGGCAACAGGCAATAGGAACATGGAATAGGAATTCGGATTGGTCAATTATTTCTATTCCCTGTTCCTATTGGCTAATGCCTATTCCTATTGCCTGTTGCCTGGCATTGTGCATAGAGCTTAATGGACATATTCTATAGTACCTTGGCTACGTTCCGAAATGCACTGCCAGTACTGAAAATCTATAATTCATGTTACGTATATTATAGAATTTCAGTACTGGCAGTGAATTTCGGAACGCAGCCCTTCTCACCCGCATGGAGAATCGAAGTGCAGCCCAGGGGGTAATAACTCCCGTCTGGTAAGTGGCACTACCTACACCTACCGCCCTCTGAGTTG